TTGTGCTTTCGGGGAGCTGTGAATAATTCCTGTGGCTAGAAGGTGGACTGTGTGGGGAAGCGGCAAGAGGTGAGGTGGACAGGTGAGCAGGGTCACTTATGTACGGTTCTTAGAGACGCGGATTTTATTCATGGCAAAGGGAGGCCACCAAAGGAAGTTCAGAACAGGAGACCCAGAGGGACTGGCGATGCACCATAGCAACGCAGGACACCAGCCGACTGTAGGATTTTATGACGTGGGTTTTGGTATGGGTGTCCCCTGGTTTCCCGGCATTTAGCCGAAAGTGCATTCCAGTCTTTCCTTCTTATATATGGCTTAAACTTCGTGGTCCATCTTGCAAAGAAGGATATCATCGGTATCTTTTATATACTTTGTTATTCCTTCCAACACGCCTTTTCCTTCTAGGTAAATTCCAGGTATTGGTGACATGGATTTCCTTGAGGTCTTAGTCCTTGTTTCGTGTTCAATTTAAACCAACACGATGTTTTAAAATTTCTTCAGTATAACGTACTTTTTGACCAGAAAATTTGTTTGTTTGTTTGTTTTTTAACTTCAAGCAGATCTATTGCTGTTTATTTCATAGTCGTTGATTTAATGGCCTCAAATCAGCTGTCTGGTTTACACACACACACTGAGGGGGCTGTCAAGCCAGTGTACCTGAAGTGATCACATACCAGCTCTTAACATTATTTGCACCCAAGTCCCACCTCCAACCTGATGAGTTGTTCATTCACTCACTCAACATATGTTAACTGAACACCCACTATGTGCCAAGTCCTGTTCTAGACCAGGGGATACTATAGTGAAAAGATCAACAAGGGTCACTTTTATTGACATTCTACTGAGAGGAAAGCAGATGGTAAACAAAGCAATAAAGGTAGTGTGAACTGATAGAATAACGATTGAGTAGGGTATGGGGAGGGAGGGAGCCATTAGAGGGGTTTAAACAAGACCGATAGGAGGAGTTTGATACTTGAGCTAAAATCTAAATAGCAGGAAAGAACCAGGCTTGCTAACTCTGGAGACACAGCCATCCAGGCACAGGAAGGGGAAGTGCAAAGGCCCTGAGGTGGAAACCAGCTTGGCATTTTCAAGACACGTAAGGAAAACCGATGTGCATGGAAATCAGTGCTTGAGGGGGAAAGTGGCTCTTGATAAGGTCAAAGAGTTTGACAAGGTCCAGCTCATGTAGGGCTTGGATTTTATTCTGTTTGGAACAGGAAACCATAGGGGGATTTCAAGCAATGGAATGACCTCACCAAATTCTCATTCTAAAATATGTTGCTCTGGCTGCAGGTGGGAAATGGGTTGAAAGGAAGTAGGAGATCCAGCACCCAAGAGAGACGTGTGGAAGCTTAGACCAGGGCACAACAGTGGAGACAGAAGTGGATGGCCTTAGGATATGTTGAGGTAAAGCCAACAGAATTTACTAAAAAGGGCTTTGAGAGAAAAAGAGGAGACAGCAAGACTCAGGTTTTTCGCTTGAGCCATTGAGAAGCATTTGTTGAGAAGGGCACCCAGAATCTCCAGGGGCGAGGCCTGTGAATTTTCTACAAAGCTCCCTGAACAGATGGAACCAAATGCCAGAGCTGGTCCTTCAATGCCCCCTTTGGAACCACTGCTTTATTCTGATCCCTGTTTTTATTCACATGGACACAGCTAAACCACCCTATGCAGATAAGAACTCAAGCTCTGGGGCCAGCCCCGTGGCCGAGTGGTTAAGTTTGTGCGCTGTGCTGCAGGCGGCCCAGTGTTTCGTTGGTTCGAATCCTGGGCACAGACATGGCACTGCTCGTCGAGCCACGCTGAGGCGGCATCCCACATGCCACAACTAGAAGGACCCACAACTAAGAACATACAACTAGGTACCAGGGGGCTTTGGGGAGAAAAAGGGAAAAAAAAATAATAATAAATAAATTAAAAAAAAAGAACTCAAGCTCTTCCCAAAAGCCAGGACTCTTCAAGTCCCCTGCAATCTCTTTCAGATTTAACAGCAGCCAGGACGTTCTTTTCCACGCAACTTCAATCCCCCATGTACAGTAAAGTCTTTCACTCTGAGTCGGTCAGTATAGCTGAAACCTGAGGTTACCCTTCGCTCGATCCTAACCTTTTATAGGATTGCTTGTTCTGTTGCGGCTACATGAAAACCTAAAATTATTCTGTCATTCAGGGTCCAAACTTATTTCGGGAGTTCAGATGGAGTCTTGTTGTGACCGGACCCCTATGCTGACGCACACTGAGCAGGTTGTAAATTCAATCCGCGTGCTGCGCCGGGAAACTGATGGCTGAGCACAGTTAGTGCTTGCCCCCCATGGCTGTCCCGTTCTAAGACTGGCTCTGAGCTGAAGGAAAAGGGGATCTTTGAACCCCTTGTTTTAAAAGCACAGGGGCCGGCCCAGTGGCGCAGCGGTTAGGTGCACACGTTCCGCTTCAGCAGTCCGGGGTTCGCCGGTTCGGATCCTGGGTGCGGACATGGCACCGCTAGGCAGGCTGTGCTGTGGCAGGCATCCTACATATAAAGTAGAGGAAGATAGGCACGGATGTTAGCTCAGGGCCAGTCTTCCTCAGCAAAAAAAGAGGAGGATTGGCAGCAGTTAGCTCAGGGTTAATCTTCCTCAAAAAATGAATAAATAAAATAAAAGCATAGAATGTTAACTTTAAAAGTATTGTTCTTGCTTGAGTATGGATTCTATAGAAGAATTTGACCCAAAACTGGAGTCATGCCTTGACATTGAGCCAATTAGTCTGTGGTCATTTTTATGACTGTAAATTGCTAGTTGTTTTAAATATTCTTTCTAAGCTTTATCTCTAATCCTTTAGTTATCTTCGTTGCTCTTTTAAGAACTTTTTTTGCAACTTTCTTTTCTATGGTAACGCAGGATAACCGAGCTGTAGTCTTTCCAACGCTCCTTTGTCCACAGGGCAGAGCAGTGGGCGGCGTTTGGATTATAAAACAAATCCAGAGATTTGTCTACAAAATTAAAGATGAACATGAATATGTCATACATCCCAGAATCAATTATCTATTATAATTCTTAAATCTCCCAATATTCCAAAAGGACTTGGTTTCCCGCTGCTTACTACCTTACTTAATTTACTTCTAGGCATTGGGAAAAAAAAAACCCTGATATTATTTTGTGTAATATTTTTGCAGTTGGAAAAAACTTGTTGCCAGTTGACTTATTAGCCCACGTCATTGTCACCTGCAGCAGAGGTTGGTTCCGGCTTTGTGGACCCTGGACCTTACACAATTTAGGAAGCTCTCGGTGACAAAGAATGCAAAATATCTTCTCTCTTGCTCATTTTGCAAAAACATTAGGCCTTGTGCATACAATTGCTTGGATCCCCCAAAAGCGTAGAAAGTGCCCATATGTGGGAAGTTTCCTGAAGCTGAAGCTCATTAGTTTCAGGTAAAAGTGCTTCTGATTTGTAGTTCTGCTAAAATATTTCTCGTATAGAGGATCATTTGGGCTAGGAGCGGGGTGGGGATAAAGCTAAAAATCTACATAGATGACACTGTTTTTAAACTGGATCTAGTCAGATTTAGGTTTAGACTCCCGACATTGAATAAAATAGATATTAAGCCCAGATATCTTTACCTGGTTCTTTTCTTTATAAAAACAATTTCTCGAGGCCGCCCTGGTGGCACAGTGGTTAAGTTGGCACACTCTGCTTTGGCAGCCTGGGGTTCACAGGTTCGGATCCCAGGCACAGACCTATGCACCACCACTCATCAAGCCGTGCTGTGGCAGCATCCCATATACAAAATAGAGGAAGACTGGCATGGATGCTGGCTCAGGGTCCATCTTCCTCAAGCAAAAAGAGGAAGATTGGCAACAGATGTTAGCTCAGGACCAGTCTTCCTCACACACACACACAAAAATGTCTCATTGGCCGTGGGACAGACAAGACAGTCATGCCTGTAGACTAAAGACATAATTTTTCCGTGAGCTAAGCTTAACATTTACAGCATGTTGGACACTCTCTGGCAATTCTGCCTTACCCATTCCGCCTCTCCTTACCTCACCTCGACTGCCAAACACCATCCCATCCATCAGTTCTTCTCCACTCGTTACCCTAAGAAATTTCTAATATGTGTATCAAAATTTAAATAGAAAGTGCTGTAAGTTCTCTTTCTGTTCTGATGAAGGATTCAGACAGAATTCATGTTCTACAATAATAGCAGTACTTTCTGTAGATGCAGGTTTCACAGTGATCATCATTAGAAAGATGAGGCAGGGGCCGGCTCCGTGGCTGAGCCGTTAAGTTTGCATGCTCCGCTTTGGCGGCCCAGGGTTTCTTTCGCCAGTTTGGATCCTGGGTGCGGACATGGCACCGCTCATCAAGCCACGCTGAGGCAGCATCCCACATGTCACAACTAGAAAGACCCACAACTAAAAATATGCAACTACGTACCGGGGAGCTTTGCGGGGAGAAAAAGGAAAAATAAAAAAAAAATCCAAAAAAGGAAAGAAAGATGAGGGGTTTCCTTTGGTAAGATTATGAAGCATGTTCTAAAAGTTTGGGGGTCCTCACACTGCAGAAACTCACTTTTTCTGTTCTTAACAGGAATCATACAGTAAACTATGAAATAATCTCACGCTTCCTGCTTGACTTTATGTATCCAGTCTTGTCTTCCACATCTAAGTAAGAAGATTAACATTCTTAAGTCACTAACTAAGAGGAACATGGGGGGCCGGCTCTGTGGCCGAGTGGTTAAGTTCGTGCGCTCCGCTGCGGCGGCCCAGGGTTCGGATCCTGGGCGCAGACATGGCACTGCTCAACAGGCCACGTTGAGGCGGCGTCCCACATCCCACAACTAGAAGGACCTGCAACTAAGATATACAACTGTGTACGGGGGGGGTTGGGGAAATAAAGCAGGAAAAAAAAAAAAAAAAGATTGGCAACAGTTGTTAGCCCAGGTGCCAATCTTCAAAAAAAAGAGGAACATGGGCAAATACAATCTCTAATTATGTCTCGATACTATACACATCCCTGTGAGCGGGTACCTCTAAGCTGGATTCGAGTTGGCTTTAAAATGGGATGCTCGAGTACATTTTGATGAAGAACTTATTCTCAAGAGCTCAAAATTCAAAATAAATTTAAAAGACTTTGAGAGAGTTTTAAAAAAATGACTTTTGCTTACTTCCGATATTGCTAGAAAAATGAAGTGAATTTCTCAAGTGCTTTTTATTTGTGAGGTAGTATGACTGATATAAGTTGTGCAGGAGAAGAACTTAAAATGTTCTCACCAAAAAAAAAAAAAAAAGATAAATCTGTGAGGTGATGGATGTCTTAATTAACTAGATAGGAGAGAATCCTCTCACAATGTGTGTACACTCACCACACTGGCTACTTCCTATATCTTATAATTTTATGTCAATTGTACCTCAATAAGCTGAAAAACATCCATAAGAATAAATAAGTGGTACAGGGGATCAAAGGAGTATATCTTAGTTGAATGAATGGATGGCAGAGTCCCTCTGTGGATTTGGGGTTTGAGGAGTAATTAGGCAGAGAGAGAAGCCAGCCTAGCAAATTCTATGATCCAAGTCACATTTTGGACAGTTTTATGGCTTTTATCTCTAAATAGTTTACAAGTCAAGCATATCCTTTAAGTATAATGATCAGTCAGGAGATTTCATGGATTGTTTCTGCCTAATACCATTTAATAGAAAATCTGTTCTAAAAGTTGAATGTATAAATATGGTTGAATTGGAACTGGTTTAAGTTGCTGGCCTTTGCTCCGTGAGAATGCACGATACCTGATGGTTATATGAACATGAGCCGCGAGGATGTTCCACAGAGTATCCGTCTATGTGTACAGGCTCTCAAGTACATGGGAGAATTCTGGAAGAATTTGTAGGGAACAGTAGAAACATGTTGGCATCCTGTGTAAGAGAGAGTGAAAATGAATTTATTTTTTGAAGTGAGAATAAAACCACCTACTTCTCCAGATACATATCCTTTTATGAGATGGTCTTTTTCAGCCATTTTCTTCTTGGGTTAGGAATTATTTACCCAGATGGCTACCTGATGAGAATTTAGAGATGTCACCTCATTTGTAGAACAATTGTGATTACTGTTCTTTAATTTCCAACTCAAATCTACCACACAGAACGCTTTCAGAGATAGGAGCTTCATAGCCACAAAATATTATTTCATGTGCTTTTGCGGTAGATTTTTTCCACAGCATTTAGTCCTTTCCCACTTCACTTCAGGAGGGAGGGAAAAAACCCTACTGAGTCAATAATTAACTTAGATCAGAAAGCACTTTGCTGCACAGATGTAACATTTTACCAAGGTTTCTGGGGTAAGGAGTATTTGTTTAGCTTTAAGTTAACAAAACAAAACATTACATAAAAACGCATTGAAATGGCACTTGAAACAACAACGGTGCCCCAAATCGGTTGTCCCTTACATTTGAGTGTAGGGCAAAGCCAGTTGTTAAATTATCCCATATTGAGAATTGGCAAATAAATGTTTGCCTAATTGCTCCCATTTCTCCTGACTCTTAGTTCCATCAGCTTTAGAGCAGAGGAGTAAAAAAATATATATTTTTATTAAAAGAGAGCTTTTGAGATTGAATGCTCTAATTAACTGCTGATTGTTTCTCTAAATAGACTATTGTACAGAAAAAACCCTAATTGTCTCCATTCTAGGGGATGTTAAGTTGTGGTGAAAAGCAGAGCTGATTCAGTGAGACCAAAGGAGCCAGGATCACCTGTGTTACAGCACCCCACTGCTCCGAGACACAGACAATGGTGATGTTTAGCGGATAGTTTCTTCCGAAGGTCTTAAAAGTTGGTTAATTAAAAAAAAAGAGGCACACAGAGTATCTTGAGTTTGCCTTTGTGGTTAAAAGAGTCGATGCTGTGCAACAAAGGGCCCCATGATATGGAATGCCAGTTCAGGTTGAGAGTGTATGCTTTTTTGTTGTCTTCGAGGTGGGGAAGAAATTGGTTCATCTTTGATATGACTGTCTTCACAAGCAAATACTTACAAAGGGGTAGGGTCTAACTCACTTATCAAAAAATCAAGGTCTTGACCTTGAATAGCAGAAGTAAATCTGGCAAAATTCATCTTTCTGATTTTGGATGCTTCTTAGACTAGAAAAAACCATTGGCTTCAAATGGGTGGGACCATTTATAGAGACACTGTTTTCCAGCAAGCAATTGCGAGGGGAGGAGGTGGCCGGGGGAAGAGGAAACATCTTTTTTTTAATACTATGCTTTCTAACCAAATATATTTTTAAGTTTTTGTCTGTTGCTTAATAAATTCCTTTTGGGTCAAGTATAATAACAATTTTGCTCCAATGTCAAAAGACAAAATTTGAGTGATTTGTGAATGCGTGATCTATCACATGGAGATTCTTTTAATCAAAACACCTAAAGGTCAAATAATAATATTTCATATAAAATTTGGAAAGAAAACATAGTTGATTCCCCCCCCATTGAAATCTGTTTTTAGTTAATCGGAAATGGGAGGAAAATATTTTAAGTCTATATATAGACTTTCGTATATTAAAAGAAAAGCTATTTACAGGTGATTTGTTACTAAATAAAATCTTGGAGGAACACTTTTAATTACCAAAAAGGTAAGGTACCAATAAACACAGGAAATATAAGTGAATAAAGTGTTCACCAAGTCTTGCTGCTTTCTGGACTATAAATAACCCCCCAGCTCTGCCACTATTATTAGCAAGTATGAACAAAAGAAGATTCCAGAAATAGAAAGGGGAAGAGTACTCAGTGAGCCTTGTATCCCATGGCATAGGAAATGTTTCTAGCAAGCTCATGAATTTAGGGGGTTAATGGATTTTCAAAAAGGACATTTCCATGCTGTCTGTTGGCCAAGGAAATTCTTTTACTGGCATGTTTGTAGAATTGGTAGGCTGATGTTTCCTCTGGGTGACACAAGGTGTGATGAAGAATTTTATCTTTACTTCCTTACTAAAATCAGCACTGACTGCTTGCCTTTTTGTTGACTTATTTGGTTATTATCAGATGACATCTACAGAGTATCGGTTAATGCAGCTGAAGTTGGAAAGGGGAGCGGTGCCTAGTGGAAAGCCCTGGACTGGGAGTCAGGTCTCGGTTTCACCTGAGCTCTATGCCTTGGGTCAAAGCATTTACATAGCTCCCTGAGCCACAGTTTCCTGACTGAATCATGCAGCAAATGTATGTTGAGCCCTCAATATTCCAGGCACAAAGCTAAACAGTAGGAATACAAGGTAAATAAATGTACCTGGTCCCTGCTCCCAAGCCACGCATGGCTGGGGGACAGACTTGTGAACATGTAGTTAGACTTTACAAAGAATGTATCATAGAGATGATACGTGTGCAGGAACACAGGCAGAGCTGCGTGTATGGAGAGGGCACCGGGGAAAACTTTCCAGAAATGGTGCCATTTGGATCAACTCAATCTTGAAGGATGCCTCATCTATAAAAAGGGAGGAAAATGCCCGTACTTACTCATCTTACAAGAGCCTGAGAAGAGCTGGTGTCATGATAAAAGGGAGTTGAAAAGCATCAGAGACAATATAAACATAGCTACTGTTGTCCTATATAACACATTTCTATGTTGTCTTATTTTTTATAACCAAAGGATTCCTGTGCATAAATATTACAGATCTGCTTCTAATTTCCAATTGTGTTTATTAAAATTTTTTTCTTTTTTGATAACTAATTATAAGCGCAATTATTTGAGAACTGGTTATAAAGTTAAAAGTGAGAGAGACACAAATCTCAAGTACTTTTGTTTTGTTTTTAATCAGTATAGACCAGAATCAAATGAAGAAAAAATAACTTCCCCAAATTCGGGTATATTTTCCCATAAGTAGTAATGATAGTCATGATTTTTTAAATAGTCATGTTTTTGGTGGTTTTCAGGATATGAAATTAAGATGTGGTATTTAGTAATAAGTAGATTCTTTTTTAAAACATAAATTACTTATTCCCAAACAATATGTGTGCCCTGGTAAAAAGGTCATTTTCTAGGCAAAATAAGTGTTCAGATTATCTCTATCCAGTAGAAATTTATTATTTTCCTATTTTCAGCCAGGCAGCTCTGTGATTATTTCATTTAGCTATCTGTTCAACAGATATTTTTTGAGTGTTTAGTGTGTGCAGCGTTAAAGGTAAACAGTATCTTACAGAATATGTTCCAATGTCTTTTTAGAATGAAATGTGTAAAAAATACACACTGGTCAGGTGTTGACTGCATATCCCCCCTGGCACTTTCATTAATATACGTGATCCCATTTTTAACCACAAAAAGAAGAGGGAAGCCTCTTTGTTTCAGCGATATGCAAATTAATTTGGAGTATGCAAATAATTTGAACAGACGTTAATTTGGAATTACCGCTGTGAATACCTTTCACTCCCATGATTGCTTTTGTTAGAAGTCAATGCCACATCGAAAAAAGGTATAAAATGGCAGAAATTGGTCGTGTGCACTTGACTGGTTATTGATAGGCTGGCAGAGACCATGACCCTTACAGCCAGGTTCACCTGCACAGGCAGAAGTCCCATGTCTGTGTCATGTGTCCACCTCTCCATTTATCCCACTCCTACTGGCTTTTCTCCCGGCAGCTCTTTGCCTTCCTCCTTTTAACATTCTGGGCGGAGGTGAGGACGTTAGAGTCAGGAGTCTATGAGCCCTCTGTAGCCAGGTTTTTGGAAAATGCAAGCATAGTTGTTTGAGTTTAGAAAAAATAAAAGGGTCTATAAAAGCTCTTCTGATTTCATTTGATTTTTTTTTTTTGTTAAACAATAGTGTTTATTTATCATGTTTGGCTTAGCATTCTTTGGTATTCGTTTTTCTCAATTCCAACAAGAAACTAAACTCAATAACATCTTTAAAAAGCAAAACAGTTTTCAGTTGAGGGTGGGTGAGGAAGTTATATGAAGATTGAGTGGGAACCTCGCTCCAAGGACATAATAGACAAGAAACAATTTTTTTCCTCCCTTTTCTTTAGAAGTAGTCTTCCGCATGGTTTAATGTGCTAACATAACCCCCGTTCCAATATTTCAAAAGATACAGAACTTCCCAGCATGATGATAAAGTTTTCCTGTGTTCCAATAATAAAACCTCAACGTACCAGTGATTTCCAGTTCCTTTGTGGCTCAGCAACTTGTGAAGACCAACTAAGTCCTAAGTACTCGGCCCGCAGTATCAGTGTGGGAGTCGGAAACAGATGTTCACGGGACAATGCCATTTGTTGTCACTGTCGATACTATGTGGCAACTTTCCCAAACGAGGTTGTTTGTGGATGGAAAAGAATGTAAGCAGTGATTCATGCCCAGGAATTTTTTTTTTTTTTTTGGCTGCTGGCTAACCATATTTTATTTGTTTTAAATCATAGGACATTAACGCATTAAAAATTTTAGGATAATTTACTATTAGAGCATATTTTCGTGTTTTTTTGTTTTTGTTTTTTTGCTGTTCAGCATTTCCTTCCAAAAGGAGTGACTGTTTGAAGTGGTTTACTGGAAATGTCAAATGCCTCACTTTTGTCTTAAGAATTCAGACAGACAAATGACATGCTTTGCTTAGTATTTTTGTTAATGATTTGGAAGTATAGAGAATTCGCAATGATCAAACATCAAGTAGAAACATATTCATTGGTATTAGATGGCATTGTACAATTTGAGATTTTTGTGAATATTACAGAGGAGCGTCTGTTAACTCATACTTAACTGTAAGAGAGACAGTGGATTTATGTGTGCAAATTAAATATTAATTTATAGAGAAGCTTGAAAATGTGCTTATAATGAAACAGGGACAACAGAACTACTTAAAAATTAGGCCTACCCTGTCATATGACACATCTTTTTTTCAGGAAGAAAACCTACCAAGAATTCAAGGCATAATATCCATCATTCTAGTGCTGTTTTTATAAAAGCAAATTTTAATCCACAAATGAAAGTACTTTAATGTTTACCCGTAACAACAAATGCTTAAGGCCGTAATTATAAAATGCTTTATGTTCTTTTAAATACATAGGTATCTCTTATAATTAGGTTTCTACATCACAGAAAAATTATTTTAAGGGACTTGAAACAAAATCTGGCTTTTAAACGACAGCCAGAGGATATACCGTTATCACACACAGTGGAGGGAGTCCTAGATTAAGAAGCAAGAGTCTGGAGTTCTAGTTCCTCTAAGTATCATTTTAATCAATTCTGGTCGCGTGACTTCCTCTTGCTCGGCCTTCGTTGTCTCATCCGCAAGATGGCGGATCCGGCTGGATGACCTCTCGGATCCTTTTGGGCTCTCACAGGTTTTGATTCTAGTTTGATAATAAAAAATTTTAGGACCTCAAATTCTGCTCTCTAGCAGTCACTGTTAGCGGCTTCTTTGAATTACAAACAACCTTTGAGTATCCAATCAGAGCTCTTATCTTCCCAGAAAAACGCGTGTACAGAAGATTTCTCACGCAGTCCGAGGGCTTCTCACACCCCTGGAAACCCAGGCGTGGTCCCAGGTCAGGAACTCTGTGGCTCTCTAAAGGCGGTTGGTATCCTCACATTTCTGTGAAGATTTAAGCAGGCATTTTAAAATTGCTGCAAACTTTAACATCAGAACTTTCTCATTATTGTTTTAAGTTGATCATTCTCTATTTTCTAACATCTCCACGTGCTAGGAAATCTGACATTAGTGTCAGCATGCTTAAAGAATGAAAACACACATAAATTGGCCGACTCAAGTCCCGCAGAGCGGAAAGAGATGCTGTGTGTGCAAGACTAGGATACAGAGGAACAAAGGATGCCTCTATGGCCCAGGTGGGGCCCTTGCCCTAGAGGAGGAAATGAATGAGCTAAGGTGTGCTCGCATCTCCGTCAGTGAACCGAGACTGGCGGTTGTTTTTAGTTTATGAAAAATTCAAAATTGAACGCTCCTACCAAAGAGATCATAGGCCTGGGCAATACTGGAATGCAGGAAATGACTGGAGAAAGTCATAATTTAAGTAATATATACAAACTAGAAATTCCAATTCATATTTAAGACTATTTAAACTGCTAATTTCCTTCCAGTGTACCTCTCTGGTTTTTTTTAAGCCGTTCATGGGCAATTCTATATTTTCCTAAATTCTGTTATCATTGGGAGAAAGCTTTGGACTTTTAAGGTAACTTCATGCATACAATCTCATTGATCCTTTAGTTACTATTGGGGTGTTTTTACATATAATATATAACCAAACATGTAGGATTCATTTTAATGAATAGCGTAAGTCTCAGAAAATTTACTAAACTACTTATTTCACTTAGAAAATTTATAAACTTCAGGAAAACTTTCTTTTATCTTCATAACGATAGCTTTTAAGTTCTCAACCTGACAAATTCTAAATGGGCTCACTTTTCCTTTTTCCAAACACTGTTAATATCTCTGTATTAAGGTCAAATTAGGTAGATTTATGTTGCCTAGTTCTGGCATTCATAGCAACTATAAGGCATTATCAAGAAAAAAGAGATTCTAATCCCGGTGTTACAGGAAAGGCCCCACTTCTTGACAGAAATGATTTCAATTAGGGAGTCCTGGCCTACCTTTTCCATTTCTCTGGAACAAATGTTATCGGTATGAGGGGAAATCCTTGGACACCAGATAACCCGCTCACCCTGTGGAGCAGAGTTACTTAGAGCGCTCTGAATCCCATCTTTGATCTCCGGCGATATTTTTCTCTGTTATGTCACAGAGGTCACCTGGCTCATGTGTGACAAACTGCCGGCATAAGTCACAGTGCCAGTGGCAGAGATTTGTAACCGTGCCCCTGGTCCATTGCCTTTGAATTATTTCACAGGCCTGCTGCTTTACATTTCCACTCTGTCGGAAGATGAACAGGGGAAGGGCGTAAAATCAAGGGCAGGGTCTCATCCTGAAGGACAAGGGGAAACAGGTGGAAGGTTAATGGCCCTGGAGCGATTCCACCAGCCTCTCAGGCTTGATATATGGGCCTCGGGCCTAAAACGGGCATTGGCTTTCAAAGATATATTATTTCATTTGAGGAGAGACATTCTGGAGTTCCTGCATTTGTCTGCTGATAGATGATCCTCTGTCCACAATTGGTTATGGCGGGTGAGTTTTCCTTGGGCCTGCTCCCGTACATAAAAATTTTGCTGAGCTCTCTAACCTTTCACGTGCCTTTAAGAACGGGACGTGTGCAAGCCCGTTGGCAGGCTGTTGGATTTCTGTGGCTGATATTTCAGTAGTTCCTTTTGAACCAGGAGGCAAGTGGGGGATGAAAGACACTTCTGTTCATTCATACAGAACTTGATAAGGGCGGCCTTGCCCAAAAAAAAAAAAGGGGGTGAAAGGGATGTTGGGAATGAAACGTGTGTCAGTCTGGTAAGACGAGCTCAGGGCAATATTCAGTCATCTGGGTTCGAACGTTGCTTCTGTAAGACACATATCACCAAATAGCTTCGACTTTATAACTGTTTTGCACTCCCTCGCAAATGGCTGAAGATGCAATAAATGGCTTACTCTGTTTTATTATTGTATTGGGAAAGTTTGAGGTGATTTAGGGGAAGGGCGTGAAAAAGATGCTTTACACAGAGACCAATGAGTAATTTGCCTAACAAGAACCACCGGACAACGCTACCCAAAATTATGTCTAATGGTCCAGATGTTACAAATGAATTGAACTCCTCCCTAGATGAATAGAACCAGTCTCTTGAATTAACCTTGTGTGTCCTCTAACAAGTTGGGCCACAGGGTCTAAGACTGCAAAAGGCACTCAGCCCCTGCCTCCTAATGTTCCTAGATTTAATATTCATTGAAATATTAGGAATTCTAATATGCTTTAATTTACAAGTATTCTCTAATTAATTATTAACTCTGGTTGGGGTGTGTATAAATGAAATCTTTGACTTTATAATGCCTGATCACTGTTATACCAGCCTTGTCAGAGAGATCATGCTCGTTTTTATGGTAAACATTAAGAAAGAATGAGCCCTATAAACTCATTACCTAAACAAAAGGTGGATTTTCTTTCCAGTTCTTTTGTGTTCCACTGCCCTGGTGTTCAGTGAGTACTCACACCACTGCAGGAAATGTCAAAATTCTATTAGTGGGCCTTTTTATCCTCAATAGTTTTGTCAAAAGCACATTCTTCACATGGAGAAACTTTCCATTACATCCTAGATATGCTGGTATTTATAAGAAGTTAATCTTGGGCAACCAATCGGATCATATATGAGGACTAATAGGAATTTAGTCTTTGCATGAGAGACACTGCTGTGCAACAAATTGCAAATACTTTCATGTATACTTTCCAAGACCCCCTTATCACAATCTCTTTTCAGACAAAATCAAGCCCAGCGTTCGGTAGAAAGATGCAGTATCTGGCCATTGGCCCTGCTAATAATGGGATTATAAAGATGTTCTTTTTGTTTCCTCTGAAATATTGCAAAGTGCAGGTTAGACTACAAATGAGAAGGCTGGAGAGAGATGTTTAGTACCCGCAGGAAGAAAATGTAATAAGTTTTTTAAAGGAAAGCTTCAGAATCACGAGTTGTAGAGAGAGTGCAATGAGGAGTGTCAGCGGGCAAGAGAATCTGCTTTTCCACTTGTTGCTTGATAAATGGATAAAAGGAGGCCAAGGACTTCAAGCCCCCAGTTGGGGGTACCATAGATAAAACAATCCAGCAGAAGGACAGGTCCTAAAACCCACAGGCATGCTTTTCAATCAAAGAATGTGGTTGTTTTAGTCTTTTTTCGCTTGTGACCTAAATGCCTCATTTTCATGTTCGAAAAGTTACCAATTTTATTTCAGTCATACTGACCCTTCCTCGCGGATATTTCCCAGTCAGTAGACCACAATCCTGTGGGTTTTGTCGATGCCTAAAGCAAAGATCAAATCAGAGGATCTCACATAATGGAAGCTCATTCTGAATTGGTCAATAACGCCAGTCGGCTGCATCTGTCCAGGTCTCCAAGCTCAGATGGACACCTCCATGAGCTGATCCATAGGAAGCCACATACTTGCAAACAGTCTCTTAATTGCTCATTTGCAGTTGGACAAAATGCTAAACGCAGACAGACTTCAAAGCCAATGGAATCTGCATTGAAAACAGGATCTCAATACACATAGCCGCTTATTGTTGCAAAATTAGAATAACAAATGTTCCCAGCGTGGAGCCAACATAAACTTGCCTGAGTATTATTCAACCTGAGACACATTCAACTTTTTTTTTTAACAGCCATAGACGAGGCATAGTTAGCACTCTGTCTGTTATTCTATACTGTTCATTTTAATGATATATTTAGGTCTCCACCACACTTTGTATTTTTACGTGTAATTACCCGTATTAAAAAAAACCCACTCATTAGTGTTCTGTTCCGCTGACTTAATTATACCCTTAATTAAATCTTGACTAACTGGGGGTCACTGTAGTGTCAGTGGGATTTGTCACTGTTCGTCAGCAGGTGTCTGCTGCATCTATTTCTGGTTTTCCTATGGTTCGAATCTATTTAAGGGCTTCCTTTTTTCCTAAATGCCGGAGAGAGTTAGTTCTCATTGAGGGGAGGGAACAGCAGATATCTGACAGGCAAATGCTCCCCGAAAACTTGTTTTTAAAAGGAAATTTTTGTTATCATTAGTTGAGGAAAATCTCTGGATTAGGGGAAAGATGCTGAACCGGCTTGGGTACAACAGATGCGCTTCTCAAAAGATCAGTATGTTTACATTCTAGAAATTATGACCATATCTATGTAGACAGTTCCAAAAGTTCCTTAAAGAACAAAAAATGATTTCTTCTTGTTGTTATGAGAACATCACCATTTTTTGCACCAGGGTACTTTTGTATTAGTTAATTATCTGGTTCACATTCGTCATTGTAAAAATATAAAACAAATTATAAAAATAGGAATCAAACTGAAACAAAAGAAATGTCCTTTATGTGTCGAATACACATCAGAGTCAATTCATTATTTGGAAGGAGTTTTAACATATTCAGACTGCTGTACTTTCATATTTCACGTTAGAAGGTTTTAGACTCACGACTTTAGTACGTTACTTAAGGGAGATAGGATTCCCATGTCCGTGTATGTGATAGGCACCTGATGTCGATCTGAGTAATTGATCACTCCAGTCGGGCTTTTCTAATTAGTTGTCAGCTTCTCAACATAAGCCCTCAAAACACTGGCTGTGAATCTACAAAGCTTTGACATTTATTAATCAGTTTTTAATCTAAAAACGTATGCAAGCTACCTGAAAAGCATTTACATTTTTTTTCTGGAATTAGGATGGCCCTTCTAATGTAAGCCCTAAGAAACTAAACTCAGGCTATAGGTCTCTGAGTTTTTCATGTTAGAAAGTTTTGGACTGTGAAATTCTGATTTTTTAAAGTAACAACACATTTTTTTACTTAAAGGTAAGAAGTCACAATTTTTCTGCCAGTTAAGGTGTTTTTCAGAACTCCGATTTCTAATGGTAACTTTCAAAGAGACAATAGGTTACAGATAGACTATCAACAACGTAAAACAGGATTGCGAATTTGTCATTACTTAAACAATTTGATTTTTATTGGTTTACCTACAAATACCGTAGGGCAGAGTAAGAAGGAATTTTAAAAGAATGTATACAGTAGTTCAGCTTGAGACCCATCCATTTCATCCTGAAGCATTCATTCCAGCTGCCTCTTCTTAAGTAACAAATATTCTCATTTGTTATCTAGGTGAGTCTCAATGCACTTCTCCTGTGATGTTTCCGCTGTTTTCATATCACGTTTCAGTAATTTAAAATTTAAATATGTGAGCCTGTATGGTTTTCAAACCAATTCAGATGGTGAGGTGATAAGAATTTTTATGCATTCTGTGGATTCCTGTACAGCCTCTTAATTGTCCCTGGGTAATGAAAGACTAGGTCATGTGTGCAACCACGAGTTCCTACAAAGAAATATGAACTCCAGATTTCCTTCCACTTACGCAATTGACGTAATCAATGTGCCGTGTGATTACCATAGGGCTGGTCAGACACTTTTAAGATTCCTTCTTTTATTCAGTCAATACCTATCAAGTGTCAGTTAACATTTTAGGACTTGGAGATTCAACACAAAGAATACAAACAAAATCCCCTTTCTCGAGGAATATATTTTATTTTATACATATTTTAGTGATTATGAATCTTTTTAGAATAATTTAAATAATTAATAATTTTAGTAGTTTAAAATAATAAAAAATAATTTTTGTGACTAACTTATACAAAGCATTTATAATTTAGCAAACTAGCCTAATCAAGGATTAAACTGTACAAGTAATGGAATGTTTCTGCTTCCGCTCTGGTTAAGCCTCTAAGAGACCTCACAGTTATCCCACCCACTATATATTGTGAGTATAAGTATGTTCCCTGGATATGTTCAAGGATTATTTTAATAGTATCCAGGGCTGGTTCAGTGGCGTAGTGGTTAAGTTCACGCACTCTGCTTTAGCAGCCCAGTGTTCACGAGTTTGGATCCCAGGCATGGACCTACACACTACTCATTGAGCCATGCTGTGGCAGCATCCCACATACAAAATAGAGGAAGATGGGCACAGATGTTAACTCAGGGACCATCTTCCTCAGCAAAAAAAGAAAAAAGAATAATATTCCTTTCTGAAGCCCAGAATCAAGGGAAAAAAGAACAATAACGATTAATAAGGAGAATAATATTTCCATAAATTTATAGTTAGTAACTTTAGGTAGGTGAATTAATCCCAGAGGAGGGTGGAAATCATATGAATAAACAGTGATTTTAAAGCTTGATGGAATCTCTAGGAATATTTTTCCATGTTACAGCTAAATGATACCCATGTATAGACTTTCAGATAAACTCACAAACCTCTTATTTGTGTAAACTTCAGAGATCTGCCATTATTCTTGGGGAATCATGAGTTACATCATGCAGTTTCAGTAAAGACACATTAATCCTTTTGTAGTAACTTCTCTAATTCATTGATTTGATAATCCAAGAACAATAAACATTTTTGGCATAACAAAATGCAGTATCAAAGCGTCCTATACCCATAAATATAAAATGTAATGGGAAAACAAACATACTTACAAAGGAGGAGCAGGTTTTCCAGCCACAAATAA